TGTTCTAGGATATCGTGATATTCGTTCGCTGACTTTTTTTCTTCTGTAGATTTGTGATTAAACTGACATTCAAGATTACTGTGGCATTTGCTCGTTGGTTTACACGTATATATATTTTTTATCGTTGAATTTACGATTCTTTTGGCGTTGCAGGTTCCAGATCTGCTACAACCTGTATCTTGGCGGATGGGACTGGGGCTGGAAGCATCTTGGAATGCAGAACTTCAACCGAGTAATTGCTATCCTTGCTCTGTGGACGCTCTCCTTCTGCTACATACCTGGTAAGAATTACGATACCTTCCTGACATTGTTTTAAATTCCCGTACATACCATAAATATCAACAAAGTAATTAGAATTAAGGTACATTACTACCAAATATACCGAAACCTACATTTCAAACCGATCATTGGACAAAATTCCCATGTATGTTCATCCGTCCCGAATTAACCACGGACGATATTCCTTTCCAAGGCCTGCTCTCGTTGTTGTCGTGGGGCTTTGGACGGGGACTGAGGCCCAATGCAGGGACCACCCCTCGCCCCAACTAACTTTTCTTCTCCCCCTTTTCCCTTCTCCTCTTCATCCCTTCTTCTCTGCATTTACACTAATCGTCAACTCATATTTGCCCCTTTCGCCACAATACTTTACCATAGCGCTATATGACCATTTATTTGTTTTAACCATTAATCATTCCCCAGGCCTGATAGCCGCCTACATTCAGCTGTGGCGCGGGACGAAGTACAGCCGCTTCCCCAAGTGGCTCGACGACTGGCTCAAGATGAGGAAGCAGCTCGGACTGATCATGCTCGCGCTGGCTGGCATTCACGTAAGGAGGAGCTGGTTTTCTCTCTTTATAAGGCGAAGGGTTTGCCATGAGATAGGGGTGACATGTACGTGCTCAGGAAACCAGTGTTATTGAAATCTTCATTCAGGGAGGACTCTAATCATTACTGATATCTGGTTTATGGTTCACAGTATATAGAACAAATGAAGCAAGGCCACACATATGGACGAAATGGATATGTGATTTGGTTTCAGTTCATCCGCATGGTGTTCGCGTCCGGTACAGAATCGCGATCCACCTAACACTACCTTTCCCCCCGCCGTTCCCAGGCTTGCATGTCCGTGGCTTACATCACCCCGAAGACTACCGAGTGGGTGTACGAGGAGCCGACGAAGATCAAGGCGCTGGTGGAGGTCGACAAGAACACGACGGAGACGAAGACGCTCAAGCTGTATAACACGGAGTTCAACTGGCGGGGGGAGCTGTTCCTCACCATGGGTCAGTGGGGGCTTTTTTGCGTGCTAGCGCTGTTATCAACAGGGCTATCTTGTCGTTTCCCCTATATTACTGTAATTATTGATGTTAGTGTGTTAATTATCAGTATTATCGTCATTGTTATATTCTTTATCATCCTCACCACAGTTATTATCATAATCATTACTGAAATGGAGACCATTTCCCCTCATTCCCCTCGGCCACACAGGAGCCATCTCGACGTGCCTGCTGGTGGTGCTGGGCATCTCGTCACTGCCGTCCGTGACCGCCACGCTCTCCTGGCGCGAGTTCACCTTCATCCAGAGCAAGCTGGGCTGGGTGGCGCTCGTCGCCGCCTGCGCCCACGACATCTTCCTCGCCTGGAACTACATGTTCCTCTACTGGGGATGCTTCAACACCCTGCCTATCGGGCCGCAGGTGAGGCTCCTTCCGATGGCATGCACATGATTGTAAATATAGTCACACACACATTTATTCATATATGTGTGTATACTGCGCAGTGAATATATAACACATCTATGATTACACTAGCGTTTGGAGATATAAAATGTCCATACTAACTCCTGTCAAACCATTGTTTTTTTTTCCAGTATGCATTATACCCAGCATTCATCGCAATCATCATGAAGATCCCGCTGCTGCTGCCACCTGTTGACAATTACCTACAGAAAATCCGCAAGGGATACGAGCGCAACAGTAGTTATGTATTGTATAGAGACCATTGTTTTTTTTTCCAGTATGCATTATACCCAGCATTCATCGCAATCATCATGAAGATCCCGCTGCTGCTGCCACCTGTTGACAATTACCTACAGAAAATCCGCAAGGGATACGAGCGCAACAGTAGTTATGAATCGGGCAAAGTTGAAGTTGCATAACGTGGGGTCATTTTGGGCTCTTGTGCTGGTTATCGTGAATCTCTCTATTGCGTGATGTGTATCCCTTTCCCGTGGATATTGTATAGAGACCATTGTTTTTTTTTCCAGTATGCATTATACCCAGCATTCATCGCAATCATCATGAAGATCCCGCTGCTGCTGCCACCTGTTGACAATTACCTACAGAAAATCCGCAAGGGATACGAGCGCAACAGTAGTTATGAATCGGGCAAAGTTGAAGTTGCATAACGTGGGGTCATTTTGGGCTCTTGTGCTGGTTATCGTGAATCTCTCTATTGCGTGATGTGTATCCCTTTCCCGTGGATAAATCGGGCAAAGTTGAAGTTGCATAACGTGGGGTCATTTTGGGCTCTTGTGCTGGTTATCGTGAATCTCTCTATTGCGTGATGTGTATCCCTTTCCCGTGGATATTGTATAGAGACCATTGTTTTTTCGTACATAGACTTTTATGTAGGTTTCATCACATGTTATAGTTTCCATGTGCTATGAGACTGCGAGAGTGAAATGAATGGAAACTGGTAATTCAGTTGTAATAGGATAATCTACTACACATTTTTTTCTTACATTACTGGTGTATGCTGATATTTTCACTTAATTGTTTAGTAGAAAATGCACTGAAGTGTGTTGTATGGGAAGACGCTTCAGCGCAATTGAAGTGTAGAATTTAAGATAAAATTATTTTTGGTACTTTCTACCGTGCTATATTTGACAGAAAACAATACGAAAAATATATCACAATACCCTTGTCTCTAAATGAACGGAAAATTACTTTTCCTGATTATTGTGCAGTGGTTAATGTGCGCGGCAAAAGGGATTACTTGCCAGAAATTCGGTTGCATTTGAAATTAAAAGACAAATGCGTGATTTGTCTCGCGAAGCAAAGTAATTGCCTTTATTATATGAAAGGCAATTGCACCTTCTGTCAAGCCTTTGTGTCACTTTGACTTACATTACAGCAGTTTTGTTCTCATCAGGTCATTCACAACGAAACTGCTTCTGAATCCGAGACAAAGTTTCCTCAGAGTTTCCACTTCCTGCATGGTGTGTTTGCCGTAATGCACGTTTTTCTGAAGAATTTCTATAATGTATGACACTGTATACGGCATTAGGTTGTGAAAAATTGTACCTAAAGTATTTTCGTCGTTGTTATTGTAGCTGACATATTTGTGCAATATATTTATGTGCAGTAGACTTCATTTTAGCTGCAACTAGTTGTAGATTAAAAATAATCATACTCTCCTGTACTTATATCGATGAATATTGTATCTTTGTGTTAGAAAAAAATGTATTTTTATATTATTTTCTTACACCATGAAAATGCACATTCTGCTAACAAGATTTATAGACACGTTGATTGTGAATATTTTCCAGGTGTTATTATGATTAACTGTAAATGTTCCTCAAGTACTCGACATACAGAGGACTGACTGCAGTTAATGAGAGCCAAGTTATGACCTTTCATTAGCTGTGCATTATACAAGCTGGAAAACCTAGTTTGGTGAAGTATTTAGCTCTAAGAACCATTGCAAAGATCTAGTTGATTGCGTACAAGTGGTACAACTGGTTTTCAATATGCAATCCTACAACACTCGTGTAACCATTGCAGACAAGGAGTCGAGTCTCATTTCCTTGTGGACTGATGTATATTCAGAAAATAAATGCTTACCCAAGGCATACTCACACAGCTTTTGTATAAACCCTTTTATGTCTTACGTATACTCCTAATATTGCTTCGAGACTGATATAGTGTAACAGATAAGGGGTTTCGGAGTCTCGGTAACGCCAATGAACTTCTGACGACGACAGATGAGAACTGCTTTTTCATTTACACTGGGAAAGGATTCTTGTGTAATTCCATTTAAGTATTGCATTTACGTATGCATTTATGTATGTGCATAGAAGGAAAAACAAATAAATGTGTGTATTTGCATGTGATGAGAGAGAGAGAGAGAGAGAGAGAGAGAGAGAGAGAGAGAGAGAGAGAGAGAGAGAGAGAGAGAGAGTGAGATGAGAGAGAGAGAGAGAGAGTGAGTGAGTGAGTGAGTGAGTGAGTGAGTGAGTGAGGTGAGTGTGAGTGTGAGTGTGAGTGTGAGTGTGTGTGTGTGTGTGTGTGTGTGTGTGTGTGTGTGTGAGTGAGTGAGTGAGTGAGTGTGTGTGTGCGTGTGTGCGTGCGTGCGCGTGCGTGCAGCTGTGCACGGGAAAGAAATAGACAAAATAAAATGTGAAAATCAAATAAAAACAGAAAACAGGAAAGAGTAAAAGTGATGTAAGAGAAAAGGGGGAGAGGCGTGGCAAGAGGAAAAACGGCGAGCGAGATTGATCGCGCTTCGCTGCACTCGCCCTCCAGCCACAGCTCTGGATCCGCTCCTAACGTAAATATCGATTTTTTATTCAAAATTGGTCATTTAAACAGATATACAATTTTTCCTCTGAATTTATCAATAAGAGATCTTTGATGAAGAAGACATAACTTACTTTTGCAAAAACAAACATACAAATGTACGTTCGTGTTTACTCAAGTGCGCGTGTCTGGTTAAGTACCTAATCTCAATTTTATCATCAAGGAGAAGATGCACTTGACAAGTTGGTGATAGCTGATGACAGGTTGACAGTTGAGAATAATCATTTGGTAATCTATACCTGAAGAAAAAAAAAAGATATATATAGCCCAGCCTGTTAACCCATTGCCGGGAAAAAACGTATTCTTACTAGTGCTATAAATACAGATGGTGTTATTTTTAACAGCAAATTAGGATAACGTTAAATATTTTTCGTAAATCGATGAAAAAGGTGAACGGGCGAGACAGGCAGTACTCGTAATTGGCTCACTGGTGACTTAGTACAAGTGTAGCCATCTATGTGTAAAAACAATCAAACGAGTCGACTCACAGTGGGCATGACATGTACGTACATGCCATCCCCGGCGGCAATGGGTTAATATATTTTTTAAAAGACATGACACTTTAGAACTGCTCAGAACGATTACATAGAAACAAGATAAATTTAGCTGCAAATACATATAATAATTTCGGTTTTCATGGTCTACCGGTAATTGAGATGCATATCAGAGGACATTTACAGTTAAATATGCACAATTAACAGATTTTACATTAAGCAGTGGGGCTCTTGTTTTGTATCATGTAGCACAAACTCGATCTACTTCTACTGGCAAAAACACAAACAGAAGTGTGATTAAGAAACTTAAATCCTAATTGCATGCTTCCAAATTACAAAAGAAATATTTTTCATCACAAGAAGGTAGTTTGGAAGATCGTTGTATTTAGAGGTTTCAGTTTTTATCTGATTCTGTTGTCAACATGACAAATTCACATGAGAAGTTGATGTACAACATGTCAACCCCAACCCACCTCGAATTACAATGTTATCTGGGAAAAAGTACGTCAGTAAAACAGAAAATCCCAAAGCAAACAACCTATAACGGTACAATATCGGCAAAGGGACAATCAAATTCCGTTGTACCCAGGCAAATTTTATTCCTGTGATAACTGTTAAGCTGGTAAGATCTTTCAGAGTCAATGGGTATAACAAGTACCTATGAAAAATTCTTATTATTGATAGTACACCTCCAAAACAACACACAGAGACAGCAAGAGGAAGCTATGCCACTTGCTCTTCCTCTTTGATCTAAGAATCCATGGTAAGGTCAATACTGGGATACTTGTATATAACATTTTGAAAACTAGTAATAGTTTACTTTGTGTATGGTTTAAAATATAACCTTTATGTGGTAACAGCATTTTTTAAAAATAAGGTCAAAAACTATAAAAACATCACCAGAGAAAGAAGAAATGAGGAGAACAAGAAAGAAAGTCGTTAACCGTATATATATATATATATATTTGGATGCTAATTCTTGCTGGCTCTGATGGCCTGTCTCTGTTGCTTGTTGGCCACAGCCTGTGGAGAAAGAGATGCTCATTAGAAACTGAATAAAGAGAAATAAACTGTTAAATGATCAGCAGCACACTGAAGAAAATTATACAATTGCATCTTTGAATATAAAAAGAAAATGACAGCTTTCTTGACATTAAAGCTTGTAATTAGACCAACCTGGAAACCAGACTTGATGGGTGCAACAGAGCATCGGGAGTTACACTGCTCACACTGAAGGAAATAGAGTCGAGCATCTTTCTGGAGGATTGTGTCGGGGGAGCGGCAAGTGTGGCAGGTTACGTATTCCTTGATATATCTATGGTCAGCGGAATAAAAAAAAATATCAGCAAATCATAGTTGCTACTTGCAATAGAAATTACATTTTGAATATACACATCCAGAAATTTTACCTCCACTGATGGTAATACTTGCAACTTTGTAGAGCAGTACATTTTTGTAAATATACAATCACAATTCATAGGCATGGGAGTCTAACGTGGGAGTTAACTTACCGCCTAAGAACATTTTCAATTTGTTTTTGCTGGAATCTGCCTTTGATGATCAACTGATTATTTCCTGAAAAGAGAGAGAGAAAAAAAATGTATTAAGTTGTACAAAATATAATAAAACTGTCAAATAAGTTTAGCTATATTACAGAGACAGTCAAACAGAATGAGCAAGCAGTGTATTTTCTCAAGTCATGGATGGCAAGAGGGAGAGGGAGAAGGAATCTCAATGAATATGGAGAAAGAGGAGAGGTAGAGAGGGAGGTAGGGAGAGGGAGAGAGAGAGAATATCGATGAATATGGACATCAGGCAGGGTAAGGTAAGACATACTACTTGACTCCTTTGTGGTTGGGTACTTGTGGCCAAGGCTGTGTTCAACAAAATTCTCAATAAAGTAATGGACAGTACATGAACCTGCATCTAATGGGTTAATCAATCTCTTATGACAGTTTTTCATTTTTTTCTTTTGTTTCACAGATGGCTTCAGAAGTGCTCAGCCAACAAGGTGCCAACTAGTAGGCTCTACACGGCCTCAAATTCCCTACTTTTTTATACTATTAACCCATTGGATCTGGTTGATGTGACTTGTCATGGGTGCATAAAGCTCTTGGAGCAAGATTAGACTCAGTGGACCTACTAGCCACATAACTACTCAGGAGAGTTGCCATTCAAGTGTGCCTAAGGCAACATAACCAGATCCAACAGGTTAATATTAATATGGTGATTATACATATCGACACTATGACCATATAATGTTATTTAAACACTAAGAGCAATATAATTTTTTTTGATAATCAATTAAAAGGGTAAATACATGAGATAGAGAGGACTAGTAACCGACTCCTTGGTGAGTAACAACTTGCAGAGCCACCTGTGTGTATACACACCTAATAAACTAAAATCATGGTGGACATGACACATACTTATGCCATCCCTGCACAATGCTTATTTGTTATATCCCTGTCATTCAAATCACTGCTTATACTTGGACAGTTAAGCCCTCAAAATTTATGATAATCTCCATGTAAAAATCTATAACAAACTGTTTAATCTAACCTCAACAGCACACCAACAATGTAAATCAAGCGTAATGGAAGATTTAACAATTCTGTTAAGTGTATAAAAATACAAAATGGATTTTTGTTTTCATCTCATCTAATAGATCTCAATTCAAGTCCAAAGTTTTTATCAACTCTATAGGTTTCTAAGTGTGTAGCAATAATAAAAAGAATAAAATATTGTACAAGATGGTAAAGCTGAAACTCATAATGACGAGAAGTTTAATTGGGAACTAATTCATGGTGGTTAAAAACACAAATGAAAATTGGAAACACTGAAAACATGTAAAGAACAGTGAAAAAAGAACTTAATCGGAGTAAAAGATATTGATTAAGAGAAATTATGTGCACAAAATGAGTCTCTGATCTATAAAAGCCTTTCCTAAGACCCTGACAAAACATTACCAATGTGCATGTGCATCATTGCTATTCAACTTTACTGAAGGTTTAACCAATATAAATATTAGAGCAGAGACTTCACTACAAGCTGATGCAATTTAGCAATTTTCTGTGAGAGAAAAACTGACAAACTTACCATCAATACTTCCAGAGGTACCTAACTCAGCCAGTAAGAACTGAAGTAAATGTTTTGGCATTCTATGTAGTAAGCGGCAAATTTCTGAGAAGTTGGCGAATGCAGTTTTCTTTGATCCAATTCTTACAACCTGTGGGAATTAAGGTTTAACATAAATCTTGTATCTCTCATCTATCTACATGATCGATGTAGTTAACATGGTTTAGTTTAAAAATCATCTCACGCTGCTACAGTGGCACATTGCATAATAGTATTCTGAATGTCAAAAGCAAAATAGTACCTCAAATCTTTCTTACCTGCGGTGGCTTCATGACGAATTTCTTCTTCTCTCCAGTTGCCATTTCTGGGTTCTTTTCTCGGAGCTGATTAAAAGCACGTTCCAGGAGCTCATCGTAAGTATAGTCCCTCTCTGAGCCAGACCATCCATCGCCTGTTTCTGTAACATTTTAATCAATTTTGTTACATCAGACTGAGAAGGGAAGAAGTGGGAGAGAGTAGGGAGTAAGAGAGAATAGGGGAGGGGGGAGGGGAGGGATGAAGAGAGCAAAAAGTGGGGAAGTGGGCCGGAGAAAGATAGATATATCTTTATAAGTAGTATTATTCAGCTTAAATTCCAACTAAAGAGACCTTGTGCAGATATTGAACACAAATTATTTGTGAAACAGGTTTTCTCATTTTGGTGCAATATATCTTAAAGTGTCAGGTGAACTATTGCATATCCTTATATCATCTCCTTATTTCCTATTAATGAGAGAACTTCACACGGCACACCCTTGCTTGCACCCCTTGCTTGTCCATGCATTAGGCCGTCCATTCACACACTACTTACCTCTTGTTTCTTCACAAACTACAGACTCCTCTGAGAGCAAGAGTAAAACATTTTGTATCATTAATCTCAGGGTATGAATTATTGAGAACATGAAATTCTGCAGCAACAGAATCAGTTATACAAAAGATTTGTAAAATTTAGAAAACTGAGTCAGTATGTCTCCCATCTCTCTAATTTGCCAATAATATAAATCATAAATTTTGTTTACCACCATTACAGTTTGTCAACAACAACAAAAATAAAAACAAATCACCCATTTTCAACTATATGCAAAGAAAAAGTGTACTTAGGTTAAGTGACAAACCTTCCCAATGCTCAGTAACTAGCAGCTTAAAAATACAGATTAGAACTTACAAATAGATCTATATGTATCACTTTACAAATACACAAGAAAAACAAAGGTTTGTATATGAGATAATTATTTCATTATTCAGCAATACTGATAAAGGTCCAAATTCCCAACTAGGTGAAGATAACTTTACTATACTATAAAAAAATATAGCAAGAGGTTAATGCAGAGTTAAATAAATGTTTGTAATATCTAAAAGATTGCACTTGTATCCCAAGCATACTCTCTTAGCAGAGGTTCATAAGGTCAGATTAAATATTAACAACATCAGATTATATCTGCAGTTGTTGAGCAAGTATCACTGTCAGTTTGTTTTCAACTTCCACTGGCATTTTGTTTCCAGGAATACCAAAGTATGTAATGCACTGGCATCCAGGTAGGATCTCTGCTGAGAGGAAGTCTCATGACGTGAATACCTGCAGAGTTATGGCAGGCCTGGACAGAGATGAGGTGGGCATTGTTGGGGGAAGTCTGATTGTGGATATAATGTAGTAATGGTGAAGTGTTACGTCTGTTGCTTGATATGCTGTACCAATGGAACCCCAAGTACCAATAATGATACAAATCCCATTCAAGTATACACCCTTAGTGCTTGGAAAAATTATTCCACTAATAACTATGCATATAATTCTTCCAAAAGAATACCAATCTACAAAAGACTTGCCCCCTTTTGGAAAGCTATGTTGGTACTTTCAGGTAACCGGACTCCGAAAGATCATTACACAAACAGGCATGAGACAACTTGTTATTCCTGCTTAAATCAACAAATAATTCCCATGTTAGAGAAATAAATGTAAATATTTTGCACAATATTTTCAAGCATTTTCTGAATGTATTTGTTACTTTGATATTCAATATGATGAATTCAAGTATGAAAAAAAAAAAAAAAAAAATATTAGAGAAATAAAGAGGTTACTGATGGTTATTTTGACTGGTAATATAAAGCTAACCAGTAATACTTATGCGGGAGGTGAGACTTTACTATACTATAAAAAAATATAGCAAGAGGTTAATGCAGAGTTAAATAAATGTTTGTAATATCTAAAAGATTGCACTGTATCCCAAGCTTACTCTCTTAGCAGAGGTTCATAAGGTCAGATTAATATTAACAACATCAGATTATATCTGCAGTTTGTTGAGCAAGTATCACTGTCAGTTTGTTTTCAACTTCCACTGGCATTTTGTTTCCAGGAATACCAAAGTATGTAATGCACTGGCATCCAGGTAGGATCTCTGCTGAGAGGAAGTCTCATGACGTGAATACCTGCAGAGTTATGGCAGGCCTGGACAGAGATGAGGTGGGCATTGTTGGGGGAAGTCTGATTGTGGATATAATGTAGTAATGGTGAAGTGTTACGTCTGTTGCTTGATATGCTGTACCAATGGAACCCCAAGTACCAATAATGATACAAATCCCATTCAAGTATACACCCTTAGTGCTTGGAAAAATTATTCCACTAATAACTATGCATATAATTCTTCCAAAAGAATACCAATCTACAAAAGACTTGCCCCCTTTTGGAAAGCTATGTTGGTACTTTCAGGTAACCGGACTCCGAAAGATCATTACACAAACAGGCATAAGACAACTTGTTATTCCTGCTTAAATCAACAAATAATTCCCATGTTAGAGAAATAAATGTAAATATTTTGCACAATATTTTCAAGCATTTTCTGAATGTATTTGTTACTTTGATATTCAATATGATGAATTCAAGTATAAAAAAAAAAAAAAAAAAAAAAAAATATTAGAGAAATAAAGAGGTTACTGATGGTTATTTTGACTGGTAATATAAAGCTAACCAGTAATACTTATAGTTAATAAAAAATGTTAGGCAAATGGTTCCCAAAGTTACTGGCAGTGTGGTAACTGTCCCCCCAAAAATATTATAAACAACAAAAAGTACGGCAAGATGCTTCTGAAAGATTTTCCTTTTTGTGGCACACACTCTCTCTTGTTATTTTGGGGGACTAGTACTGCACTTGAAGTTTTAGTGGGGATAATCAGGTCCAGTCAATGCATAAATTTGTAAGGAGAGGACAATATTACTGTCAGAGGCTTGTACTGCCAAATACTCCTGATTTTTAATTAATCATGATCACATTAGTATAAATTTATTGGTAGACTTTACGAGTCCTACAGAATGAGGAGAGAATTTATGTAAATTGCACTTAGTACTGGAACCCTGACTACTGCTTCAGGTGCCAGAAGGTATCCTAAGCTGTAATCCTGAAGACTATTCACGGTCATTATAATCTGTGAAACACACACAAGCGCAACAAGAACAAAAATGCGGACAAGATAATACTTCATTTGGTAGGTCATCTTCAGGGACATTAATTTCATTGCATACTTTACTTATAAAGACTTCTACTGTAACTCATGAGACTATCATTTTTGGTCTATTGACAAAGCACAAGTTAAGGACTTGTATTGTAAAATTATGAACCAATAGCCAGTTTGAACCACTACTGACATTCTTTTACCATTGATTTGTTGTAAAATATTGTCCATTGTCACCTGTGATTAATGAAATCATAGTTTTTATGCCCAAGAGCTAAAAGTTTGAAGAGAATGTAAAGAAAGAGTTGCCACATGCAGACTGATGTCTGAATGTTGAGTGTTTGAAATCAAATAAAGTAACATCTAAAATTTCAACTGAATATCTTCAACAAATGAAAAACGGATGCAAATTCTATTGCCATGATCTTATTTGTTGTTTTCATAACATGTTACACCAATACTCAAAGCTACAGTCTGACTAGGCATTTTAAGATAAATGTTAACAGGGAGATCTGTCAATACAGGATTGAATGACGTGTCTGCCTCATGAATCTGATGTGTGAAAGTCGTACTTCCCTCTCTGAAGTATGTCAAGGGATAACTGACACCCTAAACAACTCTGCTTTGTGAGCATAATGTCAACACTACAATTCTGCAGATCTAATATCTGACACTTTTATGTATTGTTTTGTAAAGAACACTTGCAAATATATATAGTCTACTTATACATTAAGCAATTACCAATTATTTCCAAGATTTATTCATCACTTCAATACTCTAGTCAATCTACATTTCAGAACAAGGATCGAAGCTACTAATGTGTAAGCAACATGATCTACCTTTATCAAGCTTTCTTTGTTGTTGCTGAACTGTATTCTCATGTAATCCCCCGTCCTAGGAAGGCGATTCAGAAGACTTCTGAGCAACTCCCACGCGTCACTTAAGCTACAAGACTCACCAACATCCTTATCATCTGCGTCCATGGAGGCTTCCTCCTGCTCGGCGATGAGGACGTCCAGGTCCTTCTTCTTTTTGCTTTTCTTTTTCTTGGCTTTGCTGAAGTTGATGTCAAGGTCGAACTCGTCCATCTCGGCCAGGGCGGGGTCCTTCTCCTCGTTCTCTGTGGCGCCGCCTTCCTTGGTCTCGGGGAGGGCGTCGTTCAGGTCGTCCATGCTGAAAGGTTTCGACTTCTTTTTCTTGCCTTTCTTCTTTCCAAACATCTCCATATCTGCAGTGTAAGAAATAGGCAGTGAGTAATATCTTGCCTGTATTGGCGAAGGGAAAAAATTCACAAAATAAACTCTACATCAGCTGTGAAGCCCTGATGCATTTTCAACCATTCTCCTGCAACTAGCTTACCATCAATATCTGGTGTGTCTTCCTTAGGGGCCTCAGAATCCTCATTTTCGGGGCCAGCTGGTGCTGGCTCCGTAACGGCTGTGCCACTGCCATCTGCTAATGCTGCATCTAAGTTGAAACCGGTCTTCTTCTTTTTCTTTTTCTTCAAACTTGGATCAAAGATCTGAAGACAAATCAAGCAGCTATTATTGGTATCTTAAACCCTTTTTAAGTATTAGCTAAGGAGATACATTAAATCTCAATATCTAATATCCTAGAAATTGGAGAGGGAGCAGAAAAAATCTACAATTCTATTTTACAGCCTCAGCAATGAGGTTACTGTTGACCTGTGGTGCATCTAGTCTCAGGAGGGAAAAACCTGGAAATTCATTGCAGACTCTGGAGTACTCTGATTTGCTAAGGCTTTTCTTTTCTATTTATCCATTTATCTATCTTTTTAAAAGTCAGATGATAACCACTCCCATCAGAAACATGTAATTTGGTTTTGTGAAATGGGTTTTACAACACAAGCTCCATAAGCCACCAAGGACTCAATTAGTACCCCTACATGAAAGGAAGAAGGAAAAGGGTAAATAATCACTTAAGGAGGACTTTTTGGTCACTCTGCACCTGTAGAACTAAACAAGTGTAAAAACAATCAATAAACTAAGCTCACACTGGGCATAGCATAAAGGTACATGCTATCCCTGGCAGCACTGGGTTAATACTTGTCTACATATCTTATTAACAAAATATTCAGCACAACATTCTCTTTCTTTGTTGCATTTTCCCACTCTGAAGACCTATTTTTTCTCAAAAGACTTGGTGAATCAGAATATTCATGACTCCATGGTGAATTACCATTTTTTCTTTCCTAAGACTGGAAGGAGTGTATTCCTACGTCAATTGTCCTCAACAGATATATGAACTAGTAAAGCCCTACCTCTACATGACATGAAACCTGCTTCTGAAGATATTTCATGCTAAACAACAGTACTTCTTTTCCCACATTTACAATGAGACAGTAAGCTGGGCTCAATCACTATATTTGTGAGGAATTGGTATTTGATACACACAAGTCCTCCAGATAACTTCACAAATATCCAGGTACTCTAAGCACATTAACAAACATTCCTTTCTTGGCAGCTGATAAATGAGGGAGTTGCCTCCACTCTGCACCTTTATATACTAAGATGGAATCACATAGTGCAATACCTGGAGCAATCTGTTTCAAAACTTGCATCATCTTTATCTTACCAGCTAAACTGAGCCAATCTATTTCAAATATTTCATAATTATGATATACTTAGTATGATGAACCAACTAGTACTTAAACATTTTAGCCACAAATGAGTCAATTAGTAGACCTTGTGACCTTATTTATTTCTTACTAACACTATGAATATCAATGGTGTTATTGACATTAGTAACAGCAGATAAAATATTTTTGTAAATAAAGGAAAAGGGTAAACTGGCGAGACAGGCAATATTTGTAATTGGCTCATTAGTGACTTAGTACAAGTGTAGACATCTATATGTAAAAATAATTAAACAAGTAAACTCACAGTGGGCATGGCATGTATGTACATGCTATGCCTGTCAGTGTTAATACTACTATCTACCAAAATAATAAACAAGACACTCTTGTTTCTTTAAACTTCCTGAAATCCTATGGAGCTACATAGCATTTTGCTTTGGAGCCCTATGCATATGAAGTAAAGGTCTGACTTGAAAACTACTGCATACAAGTTATAACTACACCCCACCTTGCCCAGTATATCTCTGACTGTTGGTGGCTCTTGCAAACCATCACATACAGAATATTTATGCAAGATACTTCATTTGATGATAAAGTACCATAGAGGTTTTGTAAACAGTTTACTTGAGCCTGATATGCCAAAGTCCTATCTATCTGCCTTCTTTTAACCCATTCGCCACGGATTTATGTTCTGTCTCCTGTTGGTTTTGGTGAATTTTGCTACCTACAGATGGCTCCACATGTACTCAGCCGGCAAGGAGTCTATCAGTAGGCCCTAGTTACCGACCCTGATTTTCCCATTCATTGAATTGGCGGGAAAATTAATATCATTGCTTTCGATGCTGTTATTATTGTTACTGATGTTATGATGATTGAATTGTCATTAGAATATTTTTGACAATAAGATGATACAAAAAAACCCTTTCCGAAAGTGAAGGAAAAGGCTAAACAGGTGAAATAGGTAGTTCTTGATAACTGGCTATTTGGTGATTAAGAACTTGTAGAGCCATCTAGGTGTAAATACAATAAATAAACGTGTATCAAAGTGGGTATGGCATCTATTCTTGCCAACCGCGGCGAATGGGTTAATTACAGGTGCAATATCCTTGCTACTGAAAAGTTTCAACAAACTTAGATTAATCACAAGCAATTCACCAATAGTAAGTGTTTAGAACTGGTGACAGAAACCTGAAATCTAGAGAAAGAAAAAAGAAAAAAGAAAAAAAAGAAAAAAATAGAAAGCAAAGGAACAAGGAAAAGTGTTCAACACTTCACTGATCTACATATTCTAAGTAATATTTACCTTTTACAACAGAAAACTCCATGAATATTTATAATTACAAAATGAATATCAAGATCAAAGTATTCATTTTGGTATTTCTCACGCAGAGCGATGCAACCCTCCCAAGACAAAGTCCCAAAACTAGGCTATCGTGTGAGCCCAAAATTCCAATCATAATCTTCTATCTATTCCCGAGACAGGGGGTCAAGCCCCCCTGTACCTCCCTTTATTAGCACTTTGTACCAAATTACAGAATATATGACATTTAGAACTTTGGCTGTGTGGGGGTGTTGTGGACCTTGTCTTTGAGTGGTGACATGTAGCGGATATTTTAGTCATTTTGCATTAAACTGGAGGTCACTGCAGCTCTACCTCTTCTGTTTATTATTTCAATTCTTATGCTCTATAAGATAGCAGCGTTCATTTCCCTCTATTTCTGTGTTGCTCTCAGTAATATTGATCTTCATTTTCTCAAATCATCTAAATTCCTTTTAATCCAATGCTGCCATGGAAATGAGATGACAGCAAAATGAGATAACAAAATATTTTTGTAAATCAAGGAAAAGGGTGAACGGGTGAGATAGGCAGTGCTTGCAATTAGCTCATTGGGGACTTAGTACAAGTGTAGCCATTTACGTGTAAAAGCAATTAATAAAGTAAACTCTCAATAGGCATGCCATGCCTGTCAGCACTGGGTTAAGTGTGCAGGTGGTTGACTGGCAGAGCATTTGGTTTCAATTAGCTGTCATGACTTCTGTCTGCAATTGGGCCAAATCTATGCAACTGTTTCTTGCATCAAAAGTAAAGTTAAAGCTATGACATAAATTTCTGAAAAAGAGGTCCATGTGAAAATTGAGAAAAGTGTGAGACCTCAAAGAACACACAAAACCAGACATTAGCTTTAGAAGGCATTCCACAAAGTGGTGGTTTGGCCTCAAGGGTATCGAGGATAATTATGCTGCCCCTTGTGCTCACCATGACACTTCTGGCTTCTGCACCGGGTGAAATGACAACAAGGCTTCATAGATAACGTCACTGAGAGAGAGACACAGATAGAGGGAAGTGGACACTGCCACTTTATAAAGAATAAGAAATGGAGTCATAAAAATATAGAAACAGCTACTGTGGCCTTAAATGTGCAGCAAAATGAAGAAAATATCCACTGCATATCACTGCTCACTGACTAAGTCCACAACACCCTCATACAGCCAGTTGTTAATGCCGTGTTTTCTGTAAGTGGGCACAAAGTCTAGGGAATATACACAAGGTAGGAAAGTTAAGGTTTGGACTTTTGGGTTTGCAGGATACCCTGGTTTTGAGACTGTCTCTGGAGGGGCTTCGCTCTTGCCAACAAATAACGGCTTCATAAAAGTTCCTGCAAGATAAGGCTTGTAGACCACACTGGTTGTTATGCAGTTAGATAAGAAATCTATCACATATATCTTATGTAAATCCTGGCTGATTTATTAATAATGAAATATGGGATTTGCTCACGTTAGTAACCCTGAACTTCCCAATACAATGAAAGGTTTTGAAATCAATTGTGAATCTGACAGTTGTCAATGACAGCTGACATTCCAAGAGTTGGGTTTGATCTTTGCTGAAAAAAATCTTACGAATCTGGCTGTATATCGAAATTAAGCCAGCACTAGGAGTACCAACTGCGGCGAGCGGGATGCACCAATCTATGGCATTTGTGTTCTCATTTCTCATCTTGTGCATGTCGGAAAGAAAATTCCATCTTGAATTACTGTCAAAAGATTAGTTGCTCTACGGCATACCCATAGCATACCCACAGAAGATCCCAGGATAGGAGCTTGTCTGAACAGATTAATGTTATGGTTTGCGACTGCAGGGCTTTTTGCATCCTTTCCTGGGGACTGAATTGCAGGGTTGCACCAGTGTTTTAATATTACAATTGTTAGTCTCTGAGCAGTGATATGCAGATTTTAATTTTTGGCGGCAAATATGAGGCCGGGGAAGATGC